ATATATATATATGTATATATTTTAATTTTAACACTATAAATTTAAAATAATTATCATACTAAATGATTTAACTTAACATATCATATATTAAATAAAATTTGTGAAAACAGAGAGTTCAAGGTCATCTATACACATCTTTCACAAGCAACTGAGCAAGCTGGACAACCCAGAGCAATCTCAATCCATAGGCCATATCACAATACCTAAAACAGCAACCAACAAATATCCAACACAAGGCTCATCAGAATATCCTTCCATGCACCACATCCCATAAACAGTGCAGCCAACGATGAACTTGTCGAACGAGAGAAAGAACCGAACAATTATTCATTCAAGAAGCATAAAAAAGGAATACCGATTAACCATTGAAACATTAGTCCTTTGCAGAACAAGATGGTCAGATCGTTATTCACTACATTTTAAACAAAAGGTTTAGTTGTACAATAAAATAGTTGGAGAGATCTCAATCTCTTCCCATTCAACTCTCTATCTCTCTCTATCCCTCTCTCTTAATAGGAAACAACGAAAAGTGCATATATAAATTTAACCGGTGTTCTGAAGTCCAGCAGCAATACCCTTCATGGTCAATATGAGTGTGTCCTCCAACCCAGGTGCATATTCACTTGTGGGGTTCAACATCACAAGTTCTGCAGCTTGTTTGGACTCCATGTACTCCCTCGAAATATGAGGCCTCAGCTTGACATGGTAGTTGGGGTCACGAATTCGCTTCAGAGTGTACGCCTGGCAGACATTTAGGGTTGTTATGTAGGAATCACGCAGCTTGAGTCGTTGCTTCAGGTATGGGTCTCCTTCTAGAAGGTCCCTGTGCCCTGCAATCTACAAAACAGGCAAAAGAATTAATCTCACTGCTAAACTTATGTTTTATTAGGAGCTGCAGATGATAAGGGTGGATAAAAAGGTATTTCCATCTTGAGCTTTGAACTTTCCTCTGAATAATTTTAGGGCTGATTACAAGTTTAACTGCTAACATATGTAAAGGGGTATCCATAATGTTCTGAGTCATAATTATCCCAAGATTTTATCTCATCGTTCTTTTAACACAGTAATTGGGCAAAAAAAAAAAATATACCTGAAGCAGAAGTGTCTTGGTTTCCTCATAGTTGGACCTGAGTTTTGCGCCAAACTCCCACAGGTCTTCTGACACGAGGAGCTTGTCGTACAAAGCAGCAATACCAGGATCTCCCTTGGCAAAAACCATCTCAACCAAGTCAATGGTGACTCTGAAGAAAGGCCACTCATTGTACATGTCCTGCAGCATCTTCAGGTTCCTAATGTCCTTGTTTATGGCGTACTTGAATGCCGCCCCAAATCCCAGCCAAACAGGGAGATGGAATCTTGTCTGGGTCCAGGCAAAGATCCATGGGATGGCTCTCAGTGATTCAATACCTCCACTGGGCTTCCGTTTTGATGGACGGCTACCAATGTTCATTCGCCCGTACTCCAGCTCCGGCGTGGCCTAAGATTATATTGTAAAAAAATAAAAAAAAATAAAAAAGTTATCCAGACTGAAACTCAAAATTACAACTACAGATAATGATTACAAAAACAGCCCTTGAGGTTTATAGTCGTTCCAAAAGGACCAATTTAAGTTTCAGAAATTACAATACATATAATATAATAAAATCATTAAGGATTCATGGGAGCAACTGCAACATATTCATGAATAAGTTTTCAAAGGGATGGGGGGAATGTCTTAAAAGTTTGTATCTATGAAGACGGTAAACATAAAGACAAAATGGTATATTAAAGGATTAATTGTAGATTGGAAATCCGTTTCCCATTTAATAAATAACCCCAAAAAATCTGCAAATATCTCCGACTATATATAATTACTCATAACTAGCAGTCACTTACAAGGCGGAAGTACTCAACAAACCGAGGCTCCTTGAAGACAATGGAGCGGAACTCCTCGGTGGCAACAACTGCAATCTCATCCAGCAGGGCCCGCCACTCGGGCTTGGGTGCCACCGGTGGGTGCATCCCATGCTCCAGGGTGGCAGCCGTGAACCGCTGCAGTGTGCGGAAGCAGAGGTGCTCTTCCCCAAATGACTGCTCGATAACCTCCCCCTGCACGGTCACCCGCAGTGACCCATGGATCGTGTCGGGAGGCTGGGACAGTATGGCCAGGTGGGTGGGCCCTCCACCCCTTCCGACTGTTCCACCCCGCCCGTGGAACATTGTAAGCTTCACCCCATACTCCTTGGCCACCTTCACGAGCTCCTCCTGGGCCTTGTACAGCTGCCACGCGGCCGACAGACGCCCCGCGTCCTTGCCTGAATCCGAATAACCGATCATCACCTCCTGCTTCCCGTTGATCCTCCGTTTGTACCAGTCGATCGAGAAGAGCCGGGCCACAGCCGCGGGAGCCGCCTCCAGGTCGGCCAGCTTTTCAAAGAGAGGGACCACTCTCAAGGGCTGTCTGACGTGGCACTCGCGCTGGAGGAGCTCAACAGCCAGGACGTCGGAGGGGGCAGTGGCCATGGAGATGATGTAAGCGCCGAAGCAGTCGGCGGGGAGCTCAGAGATGACGTTGAAGGTGTCGAGGACCTCGGCAATCTCTTCGGTCTTGGGGAGGTCGGGGCCGAAGAGGGGGCGCTTGCCCCCAAGCTCGGAGAGCAGCCACTCCTGGCGGCGCTGCTCGGGCCACTCGCGGTAAGAGCCAATTTCAAGGTGGGTGGTGATGGCGTCCATGACGTCCGTGTGGCGGTCCGACTCCTGGCGAATGTCGAGGCGAACAAGGGAGAGGCCGAATGTCGACACCTGCCGCAGGAAGTCGAGGAGACTGCCATCGGCGATCGGCCGGTCACCGCACGCGCACAGGGACCGGTAGCACAGCTCGAGAGGCTCGAGGAACTGTGGAAAGACAATATAGGCGTATTTTTAGCTACATAACCAAGAGAAATTTGGAATGTTCCTTGTTCCGTAAAATAAACTTGGAATGTTGGTTATACCTGCTCAACATTGGTGTAAGTTGCCTCCTCCGGAATGTCGGACGTGTCGTGAGCTAATAGGTGACGGGCGCGCTCACGGGTCTGGTAGAGGCGATCCCTAACATCGCCAAGAATGACACGGTAGGGTTCACTGGGTGGGATCGTCTTCCAAAACTCTGCATGAAAAGGAAAAAATCAGTGTTATGTTGATCTCTAATGATATTTATATTTGCTAAGGAAAACAACCGAGATAAATATCTGCAAATTGAAATATGATTTGGAGGCTACCTATGAAATGCTTTGCATCTCTTCTTGACGACCGGTGGAGTTCATCAGCACGAACACGAAGCTCTTCGTTGCAACGCCACATGGATAGCTGGAAATGCAATAGTTACAAGAACCAACCCACCAATTCCAAGGCTTATTGGAAAGGGTAAGAAAAATCTAATGCATGACAGTTAAGCTAATTACAATACCTCAAACATGAGATCCTCAATTTGGGAATAGTACAAGTTAGCAGCCATCATTCTGGCCAACAAGCAAACATCCCTAGTGACCTCGGGAGTTACCCTTGGATTGCCTGTGCATAATATACAAAATATGTGTCAGTCAACATACATAAATCAGTGAGGCCGTGAAGAAATCGTATAAAATGACGGCAGCCTTCAGAAAATCACAAGATGTACGTTTAGAATCATAAAATTTCTAGATGTATGTTCCTAGTATTTTCACGTCCCCTTAATAAAAATAAAAAATATACAAAAAAAATATTATGTATTTCCAGGGATAAAGAAATGTACCATCACGGTCTCCACCCATCCAAGAAGAAAACTGGATTAAGGGGGCATTGTATGGAATCCGCTCATTGATCCCTATATTCTTAAGTGCTGTGTCCACACGACGCAGAAACTTTGGGACTCCTTTCCAGATTGTCTCATGGAAGTAACTCATCCCTGCCCTTGTTTCATCTTGCGGAGTAGGTGGGGTCCTTCGGATTTCATCAGTTCGGAAAGCAGCTTGAATCTGCACACACACAGAAGAATTACAATAACAGTACTTAAGAGCAAGTTCATGCAGTTTAGAGTTGAAGGATAAACCCAAAGAACCTGAAATAGTAGCTATGGATTTCGGCTATCCACATGATATTGCAAAATGAAAATGCACCAAGTTCGACTAGTGTAATGGAAACTTTCAAATGGTATGCCATACAAAAGGGTCTAATTCTTTTGTCATTCTTCACATTAAAAACTGTAGAGTTATAAATTCACTCATGTCAAGAAAAATCATAGCATGGTCCTCAATTGCTTACATTCAATAACTTCAGACTGAAATTGAACACATTAACAAATTAGATGAAGCTATACTAAAATATTATTCTTCAATTTTATCTTTCTTTAACTTTACGTGCCACATAATTTTACTAGTATCCCATTACGTATAGAAGAAATGAGAGTACTGTTAAGAAATCTAACTAAACCTCAGGACTCCATATAGAACCCAATTCAATGAATTTTTTGGTTGCTCCAATCAAAGATATATCTGATTCTACAAATAAAGCACGGGAAAAATATATATGAAAGTACTCTGAGCTTATGATGATCTAAGAATAATTGACAATACTATACCTCCCTCTGCAAAGCCTCATCAAGCTCCTGTTTATCATCTGGTGTTATGTCTTTGGCATATAACTGAGCTAAGCAATCCCGGATCCTGAAATAATGATAACCCAGCCATAAGAGTCAAGAATTTCAGAATTAACCAGATAAGGAATGCTACATTCACATATATCAAAAAACCCATTTATGCAACACCTGAAAACCAAAAGACAGAAAGACAAAAGAAGAAAGAATCCAATAGCATGATTGTTAAGAAAACCAACCTGCCATGCTTCTGAAGCAATGATCTCCTCACAGACTGAGTGGGGTGAGCTGTGAAGACTAGATCAACAGTCTGATTCTTAAGCGCATCAAAAACTTCTTGAGGAGACTTCTTCAAATCAAACACGAGCCTTTTGAGAGTCTCCTCAATGTCCGACTCGGTAGTCGCATTGCTTTCATCAGTATAATCTCCCTTTTTCTTCTTGGTCCTCCTCCGGTAAGCAATCTGAACCTCCTCAGCCAAGTTGGCCAAGTTAAGCATGTGCGAGAAAGCTTTAGCAACTACAATCGAGTCCCCTGGGTCCAGACTCGTCAAGACGTTGCCAAGCTCTTCCAGCTTTTTCGAGTCATGCTTCCCTTCGTACTCTGCCGAGAGCTCATAACATTCTTGCACCTAAGAGAAAAAGAAGGGAAGTATTAAAAGCTACTCACTCCAGCTCTTAGAGCCTTCTAAGCAAAGAATGAAGTTTGACAGATACAGACAGTACGAATTTTAGTAATGAAATTAATCTCACAAGTACAAATACTGTTTTATCAATCAGAAGAACAAACTTCTAAGACTTGGAGATGAGTTTTGATATCATGCTACAAATTGAACGGTAAATCCCCAAATCCAATTAGACGAAAAAAAGAAAAAAAAAATGAAAAGAATGAGAAGATCTGTACCGTTTCCCGGAGATCCTCTCCGTGCAAATCCTGGAGAATATCGAGAAATCGATCCAGAAGCAAGGCATCGTACTCGATAAGCTTATCGTCCTCAGAAACTTTCCCAGGGACCAAAAGCCTCAATTGGGCGTCGATCGACGCCATCTTCTCCAGATTCCTCGCAGTCGCGGCCATAAATGCTTAACAATTCCAGAAATTAGATTATGAACAGCTAAACGCCCTGCCGGAAAAAAGTAACACAACAGTCATCGCGAGACTCGAACCAATCGGAATTTGGTACAAACGAACACCAGAAAAGGCAACACATTCTTCATGCAGCGACATGATAAAATTCAGGCGCCAACAAAAATTGTATTTTTGAAAACCACAGCTCCATCTCCCAATTTTACTTTAAAAACCCGCAAATTTGAAAGTTGACAGAAAAAGTTGTACCTGAACCTGGCGTCAGTCGGATTTCCGGTGAAGAAGGGACCAGCAAATGGAGAGAGAGGGAGAGAGAGAGAGAGAGAGAGAGAGAGAGAGAGATGTGATCCAAAAGGTACTGTGAGGCTAGCTTTATATAGATGGAGGTGAGTCTGATTCCATTCCACAGCTCACTCAGACAAAGGAAATTAAAATAAATATTGTTTTCCTCAAATCATAGAGAGTTTGTTGGAGTGAAAAAGGTGGATATGTAAAGCGCTGTTTGGTCATAACTCATGTGGTCGTTTTCAGTTTTCACGCTTTTTCTTCGGATTGCTTTTTCTGTTGTTTTCCGATGCCCAACTGAACTCAGAATATGCCTTAAAGATGCTAATTTGGAATCTGGGGTCTGTCTTATAAAATAAAAGTCTCAAAAGTACTTTTACTTATTTATTGATATTTACTAGTACAGTTGCCCGTGCAAATGCACGGGAGCTACAAAAAAAAAAAAAAAAAAATTAAAAGAGCATTTGCAATTCATACAAATGCATAACGGTGAAATATATTGAACAATTCATTATATACAATGTTCTTCGTCTTTGAGGTATTTTATCATCACATATTTTAATATTTTCAATCATTTCCCATTTGTAATTCGTGAACATGCGACATAAAGTTGGTCATGCGTAAATACAGAGTTCTTAGGTATAACACTCATATAAATTACTCCTCAATAACTAAAATATATATTTTATTTTTTATATGAATAAGATATAATTACCGATTCATGCAATAAATATATAGTTCTTCAGGTATAATATTCATATAAATTAATACTCAATAACTTAAATATAAATAATGAGTCCTTACAAAAGGAGTCTTTAGCCAAATCGGTAAAACTTTAAAAGTTCGAAAATTTTTCATCTTGAAGTTCACCATAAAATTTTATCTTGAAGCTTGATATAGTAGTTTTATATCTGCCGCTTGGTGCTACGATTATAAAGTGTGGATACCAATGACTTCAAAACGATTGAACAGCACTAAATGATTTTTTTGATTGAGGCATGGATTCTATATCCATGTAAAACTTAACAAACACAAATATTAAGAAATAAAATTAAATAGAATATGTATAATGACTATTTATAAACAAAAATGTCTTAAAAGAATCACCCCCCACAATCTTGGAATATTAATTCTTTTGATCCTTTTAATCTTGAAAACAGTCATTTCGTAACATCGCATCACACGGACTTTGATACTCCATCCTGTTTTTTTATACATTTTTACCCGTGTGTAAGAAATTGTTTGAATAAAATGTGATAGAGATGTGAATGTGATTATAAACTACCACATATATATCAAAAAATGTCGATGTGAAAGATTAAAAGCCCTTCACGATGTAATTTCCAAACGTGTCACTACAAGAAATTTCATGTATCGTGACGAAATTCGTGTGACGAAAAAAAAAATCATCACCTTTGATTGTCTTATGGTGACGACAATTTGTCACTACATTATTGTATACTACGACGACTACTACTTGCGTCATAATCGAATTTGTTTTTCGTCACATACTCATAATTTACATGACAATATATCTAAATTCGTCATCTTTACATAAAATATGACGAAATTTCATGTGACAAAATAAATATCGTCGTTGTTAAAGGTTTTTAGGATGACGCCATTCAATAATGCGTCGTAATATAATTTTGTATTGTGACGATATATTACACTACATTTAAATTCGTCACAATAATATATAATATGACGAAGTGCAATGTGACAAAATAAATGTCGTCGTTTTTATGATATTTAAAATGACGCCTACGGGTGATTCGTCATTATATAATTGTGTCTTGTGACGATACATTACAATAGATTTAAATCGTCACAATAATACTTTTTATGACGAAATACAAAGCGATAAAATACGTGTTGTCATTTTTGCTGGTATTTAAAATGACGTTTACGAGTAAATCGTCATTATGTGCTTGTGTCTTGTGACCATACATTACATACATCTTTATTCATCAATGTAATACATATTATGACAAATTTTACGATGACGAAATAAATGTCGCCGTTTGTTTTGGTAACTACAGTGACGCTTTTGACAATCGTCATTACATAATTTTTTATTTTTGTACTATCAATTTATGTTATTTTTATACTAATTTACCTGATAAGTTTTAATTAAATTTTATCTATATATTAAATAAATATTTACTAAATAAATAAATGTACTCAATTTTAAT